GGGTTCATCTTCAAGCAGACCTCCAAGCCCTTTTGATCTCCGGGGCCGGCCGGACAGGGCTGCATGCGGCTGGCTCCTGCTACATGGGCGTGATGGGCTGGAGCGTTCGAATGACAGAAAGAGGACAGAGGAACGAGCAACCCCACGACTCCGTCAGTTTTGCTGTTCTGCCAGTAGAGGCTGTATATATGGAACTGGAATCTCTGTGTAGGCCTGACGTGACTCCCTCTCTGGGGCCGGCTGCCTGCCCGGCCTGGCCTAGCCTGCAGCCCCCTAGGGTGCTTGCTCCACATGGTTAGAGATGTAGATTGTTTTCCCTTTTGTTGGCTTCTGATTTCCATTGGCGTCTTTCTCTTTCTCTCTCTATCTCTCAGCTCACATTTGCGCCTGTAGCAAGACCATGGTGCAATGTTCGGGGCACTTGCCCTTATTATTTCGAGTCCAATATCTCAACAGCTGCCATCAAGCCCCCCTTTCCCCATGTGAATCTGTTACTGTGTCTTCTGCGTGTCAGCTAAATATTGACCAAGCAGCATTCAGACAGCCCTCTCTTTCTTCAGCAGGCTCGCTCCCCCCCCCACCCCCATTTTAAGCAAACACTAACTCTCTTTTTCCTCCTGTATGTGACTAAGGAAGATCGGCTCTTTCTGTTCAAGGTGAAGTGCCTGTATTCCCCGCCCACCAGAGGCCACCTATCTCCCTGGGACTCTGTGCAGCAGGGGCTATCATAGGCTGGAGCATCCTGGTTGATGCTTGACACCATGTACAGCATTTCTTGCTCTTTCCTTCTTTGCTCATGCCTCCCTCGGGCATGACGTACCTTGCTGTGCGTCCATCAAGAGCTTGTGCATGGCCCTCATCAAGCATGCAGTCCATTGCAGGCAGTGGACGTACCCATCACTGCTAGCCTGGTAGTGGCTTGTGTTCCCAGCCTCAGTTCCTGGCAGGGCTCTACAAACTGACTAAAATCTCAGCCCTTTTACTAAATTGACATCCCCCCACCCCACAGTGGCACATGGCAGCAACTGGTTTGTTGCTTCAGATCTGCAGCCTGTTCTTCCCATTGCCTCTGTACCACTGTGGGAGAAAGGAGGATATAGGATGAGTCTTCTGTTGCCCAACTCAGTGGTTTCCTGAAACGTCCTACCCCACCCCCTCACCTTTGCTGAATGGATCCCCAGATGGATAGGTCCCAGCTGCTGCCTTCCTGGGAGCTACACTAAGAGGGCTCTGCCCATGCAGCAGTCAGGCTGTGAGCTGATACAGGCACTGGGGGCCTTCCCAGTAAACAATGCATGGTGTGTGGATGTTCCAGCTGAACCCAACTGACCTCCTCATCAGCTCGTTACTCCCATCCTTGCTGTAAATGTGCCACATGAATAAAGTTTGGGGGAAAGGAATGTTACTTCTTTTGTGCTGTGGGTGTGTGTGTGTGATGGTGGTGAGGTGCTTTCCCAAATAGTAGCAAGACCATCAGCTCCCCATTTTCCTCTTATTCCAAGAGCTGGCAGCCCCTACTACATGGTTTCTACCATCTTGACTACCTTGCATGCTTCCATGTCATTGATCTTCTATATATGCTTTTAAAATACATCCAGGCATTCCCACCAGTAGGTCAGCAAACACAATACCGAAAGCAGATCATTGGCTGCTTAGAATCTTAAGAGTTGGAAGGGAACTCCAGGGTCATCTAGTCCAACCCCCTGCACAATGCAGGAAATTCACAAATCCCTTACCCTCTAGTGACCCCTGCTCTATGCCCAGAAGAAGGCAAAAAACAAACAAACAAACAAAACAACCCTCCAAGATCCCTGGCCAAATTGGCCTGGAGAAAACTGCTTCCTACCCCAAAGTGGTGATCAGCATTTCCCTGGGTGTGTAAGGGCCACGCGAACAAAGCACTGATTCAAACCTTCCTTGTAAGTTGTTCCTTGACCCTGTTCACATGTAACAGTGAACACATGCACACGCACACACACACACACACACACACACACACACACACACATCTCTTTGTAAGAAAGAGCCATCGTGTGTTCACTTTGCAAATGACACCAAGGACAAGTACCTAAATAAATCTGGGGTTTAAGTCACACATTGAGCTGCATGTTCACTAAACGAAACATGAGAATGATTCAATATGCACAAAGAAAAATCAACCATACACTGCATGCATCATATCATGTATTCACTGTAATGCGTGAGCAGGGCTCCTGTGGAAAGGCTAGTGAGCAAAGGCTGTACTTAACCCCATTCTGCCTTGCCTCGTACTGCACCCTCTGCCCTCAGTTGGAGTAGAGGGAGATGCTCTTGAAGGAGGGCATCACGGAACCATCAAGAAAAGGTAGGAGAAGACAAAACCATCCTCATGGGCACCATTAAAAATTTTACATATCTTCTGTTTAAAATAACTGAAATACTTCAAGACACCTGATTCCCTCAATTCACTGCACTATCAAGGATGAATCACACTGAGGCAGGGCAAGTAGACTATCCAAACCACAAGCATGTCAGCAAGACCACTGCGTTTATGCACCCTCCCCGATCTCCTGTATAACTGTAACTAGAATCAGAGTTTAATCAAGGTAAGAAAATGTGTCTGGCCCTGACACTACACCATGGAGCACCAAGCCAAGCTTGGAGGTACAACTTTAAAAAAATCCATCATCCATATTAGAACTGTTAAAAAAACTTGACCAGTGAAGGCCACTGTCTAATTAATAAATGTTTGTTTAGTGCTACATGACTTAAAGTGAATTATGCACCAGTGTGAACCATTGCTTATAATGCAGGTAACAATGACAAACAAGACTGTAAACTTCACAAACTACATAGGCAAAGCTGTCCCTCAGCATGTTCTCTGGGGAAACCCAAAAGCAGTCACTACTATTTCAATTTTTCTATGTACTCTTCCCTGCCCATTGTAGCAGTACCAAGCTTTCTGGTGTTTGCCACACAGGGCCCCTCCCCTCCCTCTTATCAGCTTTGAATCTGTGGCAGACAACCTGTGTGTAAATGTCCTTTGTTAGCCCATCCACACACACACCTTTCAGGCCAGTCTTAGTTGGGGGGGGGGGTTGTCCTCTAAGACACTAGAAAACACAACTAAGTCTCTCCCACCTCAGGTTAGGCCTGGGGAATCAAAGGTCACAGGGATTTTAATGGTTCCCTCTGTGTAATCACCTGATCAGTTTTTATTGATTCAGTGTCGATGGAGTCATCTAATTAGTTTTCTATGAAAACGAAGAACTTGGCCTTTGACCTTTTTTTCTGCCAGCAAGAATGTAAATCAAAGGGCGTTGTCATGCACTATCGATTCCCAGTTGTACTTGAAAGGGGAAGTGGAGGGTAAATCGTGAGTCAGGTCTGACAGGTCCAGGCAAGGGTGTCACACCTCCTCTGCCAACATGAATCTGATGGAAGGCTAGTCTTTAAAAAAAGGACAGGAAGGAAGGGGCATTCTGTTCACTCAGGGCCAGCACAATTCAGTGGTGATGAGCAAGCCAAGCAGCTAGGGAAGAGACTTCAAGTGCAGAGTGTTTGATAAGCTAGTACTAGACTGCCAAGTTTTAAGCTCTCAAGATATTCACATAACTAAGAACTCAGGAGCTGCAGGGGGTATTATTGCTATTACCTGTCATATGTGTTGCTGAATTCAGACACCGCCTCCCTATACCTTCTGGCTCAGGGTAAAGATAATGCTTACAGCTATGTTTAAGCAGCAAAAAAGAAAGAAAACCCTTCACAGTCTGTGACTTTGGAAGTCTCACTAAACATCATTCATACGTCATCAGACCCACTTTTGTGCCTTCCTCTAGAATGTTAAAATTCTATATATTCAAATACTGTGATTTTTTTTCCTGCGCTTGTATGGAATACAAGACAGTTACCGTAACTGCCAACTATATACAAGCTTCCAAAAGCTTTACACCTCACACAGGTTTTAAATCATGTGATAATGACATTCATTGGCCTTGACGATTCAAAAGTGCACACAGCTGACTCTGCTGGCTCAGAAACAAGGCAACTGTCCTATTCCAGAGCACCTCTGGCTGGCACAGACAATACTGGTGTACCTTGATGCCATGTGCTAAAAATATTACATCAAATCATCAAAGGGTTCGTGAGTTGGATTCCTGAGAGGACAAACTACCAACTCAATTAGCCAAATGCATGTGGTAACCCCCACAAATGAATAAATACTCTGTATGAAAACAGAGCGTTTCCAATGCTGAGCAGTATCATTTAGACCAGGCCTCAGAGACAGAATTGCCTTGTTAGCACAAAACACAGTCACAAAGCAGTACAAGGCTGTGAGAGATTGGCAGAGGGCACCTTACCCACTACACAGAAGTAAAGAAGGGGTGGTGCAATGTTTGCACTCATTAACAAGGCAGACTGACTTTTTAAAATCCACTTTTATGTCCAGTACATAGAAAAACCTAGAGTCACAGACAGCATCCTGGAAGAGACGATTCCCCCCTTCTCTTTCACACAGCACAGAAGTCCACTTCTAAGATGGCAGCTTTGCAACAGCTAAAAACTAAGTGTTCTTTGAAAGTCAAATTTCATATGCAAATTCAATCGATTTATTTTTAAAAATTAAGATTTTTTAAAAGTTGGGTAACCCTCTGCAATGCCACATACTTATCTTACAATGGTGAAGTGGATGTTATGGCCGTGTTCAGTGGATGGCTAAGTATGGCCACATTGGGCCAAGAACATGGAAGACACTGCCTGAGTGGCAGCACAGCAAGAGTGAGGAGACTCCAAGGACCCCACACACAGGCAGGGCATCATTTCCCTCAAAACAGTTCGGCCATGGAGATCTTCCTTACAGCTTCTCCAACGGCACTGTTATTTTAAATACCCCCAAACCCAGTCTTCTCCTCACACTGTTATGAGATAAGAATAATTAAAGTAATATGAACTACTCATTTGCAGCATCCTATCAAGGAACTGTAGACAGGCTGGAGTCCTGAGTGATCATTCTGCTCCTGCACATGCCAATGTATGATTCTGTCTTCCTGCCTGCTGCTCTCTGCTGATTCCAATTGTGGGACAAAAGGTAATGGATTCTGTATTTACAAAGACATTTACAAAAGTCGGGCATAGGAAAGGTAATACCAATCACCCCAGCGCCTCCCAACAGGAAATTGTGCAGTGAACAAATTCAGCCCCTTGGGCAAAGCCACTGCAGGAATTTTCCAGCATAAAAGTCACTCCCATAGGACAGGGCGAATACAGCTTCCTTGACTGTGCAGCCAATGTTCTTGTCCTTCAACTGGGACCTTGCATTACTCAAGGCTTCTTCACTTTTTTGACAGACGAAGAACTGGAGGCAGATTCCCTGCGTTTTCTCTGTTCAAAAAGAAAGAGGTCACAGGGTTTAGATGATTATCAGGAAAAAGATGAGCCCGACTTAGTACTTCATGAGACCCAAACACTCCTTCCTAAAAATACTGCCAGTCCCAAGATACCAGGCTGATAACATAGAAGGAAGATCACCACACAAAACACCCGTTTACCAACAATATCAGGCCTACCTAGCTCTGGATACCTAGACACATGGAAGTGCGGGAGGGAGGAACTTTAAGGGACAACATGCAGTGTGCTTGTCTTTGCTTACAAGGAAAGGGAGACAGATGGTCTTGCAAAATATTACAGTGCCAGAAAGGAACCAAATATTGACAGCAAATCCCATGGTACCAGGGCAGCTGGCTACAAGGCATAGTTCTTCAGTCATTATTTGGGCGGTAGAGGGGACACAGCACAAGTTAGCCTGAAGCCTGCCCCAGGGATGCACTGCAGCAGACCCCAGGCCCCTCTGTCTAATGCCTGGTCCTCCAGGTAGCAATAGGCTGCTGCCAAGAGCATGCAGTAAAAAGGCCAGGGAGTCGGGACGGGAGCAAAAAACGGAGGAAGGGGGAGGCAGGATAATACAGGGGGAAAGGAAGCAGGCAGAGTCCCAGAGAAATGTCCCAGCATTGCATCATGTTGGCAGTTTAAGTATATGGGAAGGAGCAAAAAGCATTATCCCAAGCAACCTCTCCCTTCCTGGGCCCACAGCCAGTGGAGGGAAGAAATTCAGACCCAAACAAGCTCTCCTGGGGTATGAACTCCCCACCTACCACCTTCCTTTGCTTGCTTTAAATGTTTCTGAGTCATAAACTATTGAGAGCTTGCATTAGTAATGAAGCCCCCACGCGTCTGGCCGCTGCTCCCATCCTCCATGGTCGAGGAAGCAATGAGCATGACTGGAACAGTGGCCCACTGCGGGATTCAGAGGCACCGCCTTCCATGGTTTTTGATCAGTGGAGAATCTGCACCACTTTGTTAACAGGCTCCCTATGAAAACAAAGTCTAGTATTTGGGAACTGAAGACCAAAAAGATACAATTGGAGCAGCCAGTCCAACCTGGAAACAAAGGAGTGGGGGGGCTTGAGAGCTTCCCAGTGAGGCGGTCGAATTAATGGGGATGAGTGCGTGTGTTTGATAATCTTTATATGGCAAAAGAGCCATCTTTCAAATATGTCACAAATTCATATTAATCACCTTCCCTGGCTTGGCTCCGTCCATCGCCGTGGGCAAAAACGAAAAGTGTCTGGTTTGAAAAAATGTTCTACATTATCATTTACAAGAGCCTGGGAACCGAGTGCTCTGTTAATGGAAAAGAATGATTTAAAAATGAGAATATTTTTACATTATGCATACACACACACATACAGACGTGCACACACGTACCCCCTCATATCCTGGTACAGGCACACATTTATAGATATGTGCAAGCGAGCTTTCCAACTTCATCTGGAAGGAAGGATGTTTGAAGTTAACAATGTAACTTCTCACTTTCAAGCAGGCTCAGAAAACAAGGAGCCGGCAGGAGTTCAGATAAAGGCAGCTTAAAAGTCAAATGATTCTGACTCTGAACCTGAGACTTCTTAGAGGCAAGGTCCTTTCCTTTCCCCATTAATGGGCTGACTTGTGAGCCCAGGAACAAAGTGTGCTGATGTGAGGAATTCTGAGGAGAGTCAACTCATTACGGATGGGCGAGTGGAGTCTGAGTTGTGCAAATCAAAGGCTCTAATCTGGAGTAACTGGCTGCACTTCTGCTTGGAACTAATTTGTTCCAAGCTACACTCACCTTTCACCCCCCAAAGGCCCGGAGTGGCGTCCCTCCTGGGTCAGCCGAGCAGTGCTCTGGGGTGGAGGGAGAAGGCTGCCTTCACTGTGGGCTGCTAGCCGTGGACAACACAATGGTGAGGATCCCAGCTTGGGATAATAAAGGCTGGGCTGGATAGGAGGGGGCTGGTGATAAAATGGCCAGCAGCCAAGCTCATGGAGGTGGCATTTCTGAACAAAGAAGCGCTCACGTCTAGTTTTTACCTTGCAGGCTTGCAAGAGCCATGTGGACCCTGCAGATAAGGTCACTGGCGGATGTATGCAAAGCGCTCTCTCTCTCTCTCTCTCGCAGAACTACACGTAAGGTCAGTGTCCAACTCACCCTTACTGACAGAAAGGAAAAGGTTTGAAGAGGAAGGAGGAAGGAACGGTTGCCCTCCTTGGTGCCAGTGCAGTCCTTCGAGTTCACACCACTGCCTAGTTATGGGAATCACACTGCACACAGTTCACGTGCCTGCACATGTTACTTAAACTGAGAAAGCATGAAGTGTGCAGAGCTGTTACTTGGACTGGTGGCAAACACTGGTGGATTCCAAACTCTGCTTTGGGCTGAGGTGCAAACAGGTGCACAGTGAAGCTGAGAAATGAAGCCACAACTTTGGGAGGATACCCCTGGGTGCCAGTTCACACATTATGGCAGCAGCCATGTTTATCACATTCCCTGAAAAATGCAAAAAGGACATGAACGTTCCCAAACAGAAATACAAACCACTAAGGACAGAATGGCCTGGAATGCCCACAATTGCAGGATAGACTCCCTAAAATTCTGCAGAGAAACAGTCACTCGAACCAGGCAGGTTATCCAAAGGCTAATCTTACAATCCTCCTTTTCAGCCATGTCTTCAAACTTGGCACCACTTTCATGGAAACAGGCAAGCCCCACAATCATTCCTCACTCTCACAGAGTGCTCAAGTGGCAAGGAATGCATAGACACAGAGGCAGATGGCAGAACATAATCCTCTGCAAGATCCTGCCGAGGCAGAACCAGCCTTCCATGTCTCCCTTACCCAACCTGGCAGAAGAATGACCCCAAACTCTGCTCTCAAGCATCAATCCTACAGCCCCTACTCTCTGACTGTCAGCGGTGTCTCCTTCCTGCAATACCATTCCTCAACCATGGATGCCCCCCACTATCGTGCCAGTGCCAGTGTGTGCCTCCCTGAGCTGTCCCCCTCCTGCTGGGTGGAATTTCCTTCCCTTCCAAAGGCAGCATAAAGTGGTTGCAGTGTGAATGCGCTTGACCTTTTGTCTTGGACTAATCTAATTGTGTCGTCTTTGTGTAACCAGCCGGTAAAGGTCAGAGCTGTATTTAACAGGGGGGCCCTTTAGGTACCAAATTTGCCTTGCAGTGAATTAACTTGATTATATTTCTTTCAAATATGTCAGGGCCCAGGTTATGTTAACCCTCTTCACGCTGACTGCATTCTCCTTTGTCCCCCTCCTCCTAAGCACAGTACTGGACGAGACCAGGACTAGGGGACACGGGAGTGAAACATCTGCAAACAGACACAATGTCAGCAAAGTTTCTGCAGGGAACAAATGGCAATGAACTGGCCTGTAAATGTTGGGGACTCTTCAGATTTCATCCCCTCTAGAGAAGGAGAGGAAGCCTGACAGCATGCCCCAGCCCACGCCACAAAAGAAACCTCTACTTTGTCCTCAAAACCCCCCCTAGCTGTTACTCAAAACTACATGCCACCAGATAGGGGAAGGGAGTTCCTTCCATATTAAAAAACAAACCAAAACCCCCAAACCCAGACATTTTGCTAAAGACTTTGACACACTGCTGCACCAGCACAATTGACAGCATCTATATCCAGGGTTCTTGCAGCGGTTACCGTACTGGACTGGAACGGGGAACCCTGGGTTCAAAGCCCCACTTAGCCCTGTGATCGTGAGCCAGTCATTCATTTTCTCTTTCAGCCTGATCTGCCTCACCTCAGAGGAGGGCAGAACCATGGACGCCATTCTGACCTCCTTGGAGGAGGATCGTTCACAGCAGTTGTGCAATGAGTCGGGAGGGCCGCAGGTCCAGCCAACCATGGGCCCAATTACAATTGCACCAAGCAAGAATCCTTAAATGTAAGCGTGTTATTCCCACGGACTCCACTGGAATAAAGTTTCCATCTAAGAATTTTAAATTAGCTGTTTGGACTCAGGTATAGATAATGGGGTGGGTGAGCAAGCCCCAGAGCATGATGGGAGGGAGAGAGAAATGGCTTGCCCAGGCCTCCTGCTGGACCAAGCTGGTGAAAAAAGGTGGAGTACTTCACAGGAGTCCGCTTTCAAGCTGTACGCTGACTTCCAGCCACCAAATTGGACTTGTGCTTTCCAGCAAACCTGTTCCACCTTCCAAGGCTGTGGCCCGTGGAACCGCATGTGTGGCTACACCAAAAGGAGAGCAACCGCAAATCCCTGAGCATGTGGCCTTCGAGTGGGAACATACAAGGACGTTCCTTAGTTACCCTTACTGCCCTGACATGCAGGATTTTAATTTCCAGAAGTCCTTGAGACTGCTGCCTTCCCACAAGCCTCCTCTAAGGACAGCAGCCAGCAGAGACGAGAAAGAAGTGTGGGTGACACTCTGATGACTACGAACTCCCCAACACCAATACCCACTCACCGAATTGGGTGTCAGAGGTGCCCCCACCACATCGATGATCTGATCCTTGATGTCACTCTTGCCCTCATCACTGCAGGGGCCTGAATGCCCATCAGCGTGGGAGCCACCCTCGACGCTGGGTCCCGTGCCACCTGCTTTTGCCAGGGCCTCATAGCGGTGTCGCAGCATCTGCAGCTCGTATTCGCAGTTAGCAAAGGCTTGCTTGAGCTCATAAAGCAACACCAGGTCACTGCGCAACTCGTTGAACATCTGGACAATCTCTTCTGTTGGCATTGGGTTCAAGTCTGTGGGAGGCAAGAGAAGAAAAAATAAGTCAGGAAGCTCCCTAGCATGCTTTTTGTCCCCTGCTAGTGGTGGGATTGTTCTGGCACAACTGTCTAAGGGGAGTACTTGCTTCATTCTCCGCTGGATGTAGCAGCAGGAACTCTCTTGCTCCAGACACATGGCAATGAGGCTGCCTGTCCAGCCCCAACACACAGCTGCTTCAGGCCAGGTAAGATGGAGCAGAATCCAAGTGCCAGCACATCTTGAAGGGAAGCTACTTGCTTCATAAGTCCATCTATCATCCTGCCCCAGCTGGAGCAGAACATCTCTGCACTCCCTGGGTCAGGAAGTCTGCTGCCCTCTCAACAGAGGCTTGGGCACAGAAGGGTTGGATTTTGCCCTTTCTGCCAACAGCAAGCTGTTTGCAATTGGGAGACATTTACAGCATGCTAGGCACATCCTCACATAGGTAGGGCAAAACTCACCAAAAGAGTAGCAGCAAAACAGCCCACAAGCCAGGCAGAGTCCCCCAAACAACGACCACTATTCCCCCACCCGGTCCTTAGCAGTGCCTGGTCCCTGCACGAAGAGATTTGCCTCCTTAATAGCAGGCTGTCACTCTTGGTAACTTAAAGAACTCAAACAAGAGAGAGAGAGAGACACAGACAAAGACTCTGTTCAAATACTTTTCCACTGGGAGGAATTTTTTTTTAAATCTTGTGCATCATCTTCTAGCTTTTACCTCCTCCCCCCCTTTTTTTTAACAAAACACACAAGATATTATTTTCAAACCCATTCACATAGTGTTATTCAAGGAACTGGCTGTATTACTAGGGGGAAAAAATAGCCCCTCTCGACTACAAAGGCTTGGCTCCATGGGTCTCTCTCTCTCTCTACCTGCCCTCTTTACTCACCTACTCCGAGTTCCATCAGCATCTGCTCCAAGGCTTTAATCTTCTTCTGTCCCACGGAGCTCGGCAGTTTCATCTGGAATACAAAGGTAACAGCCACACAGCTCTGAGCTAGCCCTCACTCACAGCCGCCTAGTTCAAACGGCAAGGGAGCTTTGCTTTTTATAGTGCGGGGGGGGGGAGCAAACCAAAGAAAGAAAGAGAGAAAAGGGAAATCAAGCGCTGGGAGAGGGAGGCAGAGAGAAGGCCTGAAAGTTTGCAGACTAGGGCCAAGGGCAGGGACTGAAAAGCCTGGTCGTGAGGGCTTTTCAGTTCTCCCGGCGCCAAGATGCGGAGATGCGCAGCTTTACAGCTTCCATGTGCAACTGAATTAACAACAAAAGTTCTGCTCTGCTTCGAACCCTCTCCCGCAGTGCTCTGCCCATCAAAGAGCTCAATTACACAGCAGCTAATGTGCGATGCTGCCCTACTTTACTTGCTCTTGCCAGCCTGATTAGACTCGTGCACTAACAGACTTCCTTCTCCCTTTACCTGCCGAGCCCAGAGCCGTGGGATTCATTTACAGAGCCAGCTTTCTAACAAAAGATGCGAAGAGGCACAAAGAGCACACAAGCTTACTCAATTGGAGAAGTGTGCGTTCACACAGGAGCCGGGGGTGGGGGGAAGGATCTGGTAGGGACTGCAAGCTGGGCATGAGACCATACTTAGTGTGACCCCACTCACTCCAGCCTCTTGGGCGTGAGTGGCTCAGGACAAGCTCACAAGAACAAAACCAGTGGCAGAAAGACATCGCACATGACGCAACATGGAAAACAGGTCCCCCTGCACGTATAAGGGAAACCAGCCAAGCTAACATTCCCCCAACGCTCCCCTGGGCTGTAAAAGGAAGACAGCCTGCAGGGTTCCTCTGCCACTCTAACCTCCCCCTCAGGCCTTACTCTCACATGGCCACACCCTAAGAGAGATTGCGGGATTAGGACGGGTGCCCCTTGGTTCTGCCATATGGAATACAGGTCATGCCACCCTCGCTCAAGCCCCTTCCCATTTCAAGATGTTTTTTGAGCAGGAAGCTGGGACACTCACCAGCTGCTTTTTTCATCCAGAGCAGATCCATATGACCAATCCATAGGTGAGGTGCTGGAATGATCTGTCCATGGGAGGAGCACCCAACAGAGGCTAAATTTATGACAGTGCAGCAGTTGCAATCTTCCTGTGAACAGCAAGACTGTGTGAAATCTACACAGTCAGGCTGAAACTAGGAAAGGCACAGCCCAGGGAAACGCACCTCGGACACACTCACACCTGCAAGCCGGGTAATGAGGAAGTGTACTTCAGCTGGCTGCCAACGTAACCAATTTTAGGTATGCCCCACAAAAATGTCCACTCTTGACACGCATAAGGCAGCAATGATTCATGACGGCTCCCAAGGAAACCCCATTGGGCCCAGTTCTTTGCCGTACACTCCCATGCCCAGCTCTTTTCCAGTCATGAAGGGAGCCTCAGGCTCTGGCAGCAGTTTCTGGATGGAAATAGGGCAGTTGGGTGGGACTGGCAGGTCTGCAATAAGCGGGCAAAGGTTACTGTTGAGCATCAGCCTGAACCATGCAGGTTGGTCAGAAACCTGGGGGGAAGATGCCCAGCAATGGAGTGCTGAAAAGATGCCAGCAAGTGACAACAATGAAATATGAAAGAAGAACATGCTGTCGAGCTGCAAGTGACTCATGATGACCCCAAATCCTGGAGCATTTCAGGCAAGAAAGAAGCAGAGGTGGCTTTGCCATTTCCTCCACACAGCAACCCCAGCCTTCCTTGGTGGTCTCCCATCCAAGTGCTAACGATGGATGACCCTGCTTAGTTCCACCTCACATTCTGCTTAAAAGAACAGCCCCTCTTCCCAAGAGGACCCATCCAGTACAGAGTCTCATCCTGCACTGAACATAAGAGAAGCCATGTAGTATGACACTCTGTCACACAGTGGCCAAAACCCAGGTGCCATCAGGAGGTACACCAGTGGGGCCAGAACTCCAAAGCTCTCCCACTGTTGCCCCCCCCTCCAGCACCAATAAGACAGAGCATCACTGCCCCAGACATAGTGCTCCAGGTATTGGCTAATAGCCACTGATGGACCCCTGCTCCATATGTTTATCCAGTCCCCTCTTGAAGTTGTCTATGCTTATAACTGCCACCACTTCCTGTGGCAGTGAGTTCCATGTGTTAATTACTTTTTGGGTGAAGAAATACTTCCTTTTATCTGTTAAAGCCTATTGCTCATTAATCTCATTGAGTGCCCATGAGTTCTTGTATTATAAGAAAAGGAGAAAAGTACTAAAAATTGCTGAGCAGTCAGGTTAGAACAGATAAAAGGAAGTACTTCTTCACTCAAAGAGTGATTAACACATGGAATTCACTGCCACAGGAGGTGGCGGTGGCTACAAGCATGGACAGCTTTAAGAGGGAATTGGATAAACACATGGAGCAGAGGTCCATCAGTGGCTATTATTGGTATAGATAGGAACTCTCAGTCTGGGGCAAGTGATGCTCTGTATTCTTGGTGCTTGGGGGGGGCAACAGTGGGAGAGCTTCTAGTGTCCTCTCCTGGCCCCATTGATGGACCTCCTGATGGCACCTAGTATTTCTGGCCACTGTGTGACAGAGTGTTGAACTGGATGGGCCATTGGCCTGATCCAACATCAGCTTCTCTTATGTTCTTATTACTTCTTTCTCTACCTTCTCTATCCCATGAATAATTTTTAAACCTCTATCATGTCACCCCTCAGTCGTCATTTCTCCAAACCAAATAGCCCCAACCACTTTAACCTTTCTTCATAGGGAAGGTGTTCCCTTAATCATTTTAGTTGCCCCTTTCTGCAACTTTTCCAATGCCATAATACCTTTTGAAGTGCGAAGACCACAACTGTACACAGGATTCCAAATGAAGCTGCACCATAGATTTATACAGGGGCATTATGACACTGACTGATTTGTTTTCAGTCCCCCTTCCTAGTAATCCCTAGCACAGCATTTGCCTTTTTTATTGCAGTCACACACTGAGTTGACATCTTCGGTGAGTTATCTACTAGGACTCCAAGATCTCTCGCCTGGTCAGTTACCACCAGTTCGGACCCCATCAATATATATTTATAGTTAGGATTTTTAGCTCCAGTATGTGTTAGTTTACACTTGCCCACACTGAACCTCATTTGCCTCATTGACGCCCACTCGCCCAGTCTTAACAGATCCCTCTGGAGCGCCTCACAGTCCTCCCTGGTTCTCACCACCCTGAACAACTTCGTGTCATCTGCAAATTTAGCCACTTCATTGCTTACTCCCTACTCCAAATAGTTAATGAACAAATTAAAAAGTACCAGACCCAGTACTGAGCCCTGCGGTACCCAACTGCTTACCACCTTCCACTGTGAAAACTGCCCATTTAGACTCACTCTCTGTTTCCTGTTAATTAACCAGTTTTTAATCCACAAGAGGATTTGTCCTCTTATCCCGTGACTGCTAAGTTTACTTAGAAGCCTTTGATGAGGAACTTGATCAAAAGCTTTCTGGGAGTCTAGATAAACAACATCTATTGGGTTACCCTTGTCCACATGCTTGTTCACCCCCTCAAAAACTCTAACAGGGTAGTGAGACAAGATTTTCCCTTACAGAATCTATGCTGATTCTTCCTCAGTAGCTTTTGTTTATCACAGTGCCTACTAGTTCTAGCTTTAATAATGGATTCCACCAACTTACCCAGTATTGATGTTAAACTGACCGGCCTGTAATTTCCAAGATTGCCTCTGTAACCTTTTGTAAAGATGGAGGTTATACCTTCCAGTCCTCAGGAACGGAGGCAGATTTTGGTGATAGATTGCATATTTTTGTCAGGAGACCCACAAGTTCACACTGGAGTTCTTTCAGAACTCTTGGATGTATGCCATCTGGGCCTAGTGATTTGTCAGTTTTTAATTTGTTCATTAGTCGTAGGACCTTCTCTCTCAACTCCTCAATACGAGCTCAAAATTCTCTCACTTGTCTCCCTCTCCCATCCCCCCTCTTGGCTCCAACTTCATTCTTCAGCTCTCTGGTTCTCACCAGAGTTCATTATAGGTCAAAGCAGTCATCAGTTTGTTCATTTCATTGTGCTGCATGGCAACTATATTAAAAACTGCTTTATCTACATACAACACTCAGAGCTATTACTTATGCTGAGCAAAACTGCATATTAATAAAGCTGTTAGAAGCAATCATAGGATGCTCCCACTTAGGGTCTAAGGGCCAAATGAGACAAGATGTTGGGAGTTCTATGTACGAGCTCCCAAATGCTTCTAAGTAGCCAGTGTGTGGCATGCCAATTCAGATGAGGACCAAGGGAGGGGAGGAGTTCATGCACCCCCACAAACACACACCACTTTCCTGGCCTGAAGCCCACTGAAGCTGCTATTTTCCCCCAAAGGCTCTTATCCCACCAGGGCAAACTGCAACTCCACAAGGTTGGGTCAGGTAAAATGGCATGGGGGGTTCACAGAAGGGAGGCACCACAGTCCTGATCCAAACTGGGGTCCTGTATGCCAGCTGTGAAGAAGACACCCCCACGCACACACACACTTGGTTGTGCCATACACAGAATTCCCAGTGTTGCATCTGCTTCGGCCCTAACAGTTAAAAATTGTGATTTCTCTACCACTACAACCATTGCTTAGTGCTGCCTCTCTAGTAAAAGCCTATTCCGTCAACGGTTTTGTACCACAGAACAATCACCAGTTCCTTCCAAAATTCAACCACTTATTAAGAAATGGAACCTCCAAGCTTAAAAGCAGGTGGTATCCGAATATTAGTTGCTGAGGGACAGACAACAGGGGAAGACTTTTGCCTTCATGCCTGGCTTGTGAGCTTCTCAGAAGCATCTGGCTGATCAGTGTCGGAACACTGCACTCTTTAGATCCTCCGTTTTACCCAACAGGGCTTTCTTAAATTGTCTGCTCACTCAGCAAACTGCATGTTTGCCTAGACAAGTACATGCCACTCTTGTGGATGGGATTTGAGGGGAACCATGTGGAATTTTCTACTCAGAGTAGCAGCCAA